CCTCCTCTACTTCTGCTACCCCCCTCACCCCCCCTACGCAGCAACTCTTCCTAGTGCTGCGTCCCCCCCTTCCCCTCAAGTTCACCCGGTTTGCACCGCGGTCACAGTTACAGGTGTTGTCCCGTCCGGAAAAGCAACCCGGTACATGCCACTACTGCGCGCGTGTCTCCCGTCCTGTGCTGCGTGTGTTGTGGTGTCGCGCGGAGCGGAGCGCCGTTTTGGGGTTTGGATTGTACACCGTGCGGACTTGTTGATGGATGGGCCAAAGGGACCGCAGGCTTTTACCGAGGCGGATTCACGCACTGCTGTCATCGCTCCCGGGGGCCGGTATTGATTTAACGTTGCGGTTTCGATCCGCGTGATTGATGACTTTGGCCCCCTTACCGGGCCCCGCATCACCGCCAGTCTAGTGCCGTCACTTTAGTGATGGTGACACAGCCCTCTGCCTGCCTCACGCGCGCTCTCACACGTGAATGCTTAGGAGAAAAAAAAGGGAAAAGTGGGGTCCTGGCCATCCCTTCGTTTTCCTCATTAAGCAGGAGCACACAGTTGTGTTTTTGGCCACTTGTGAGGACATTGCGTTGACTTCTAATGACTCCTGTTTATCTTAACCACTGCTGTTCACTCCTAAACCCAACCCATGAGCCCGAGTCTGACCTTAAACCAAGTCCTAACCATGAGATAAATGCTTAACCCTGCAGGGACTATTTTAAATGTGGCTGATTTAACATGTCCCCACAACATGAGGAATACAAACCACACACACACACACACACACAGAAGGACACACGCAGCTCCAGCAGCAGCCCACCTTCACCCTCCAAACTGAGCTGAGATGTCGCCTTGACATTTAAGTTGGACTTATCATCAATTTTACTTTTTGGAGATGAAACGCTCTGGTAGGCTGTGAGTTCTTTTTTTTTAACTTAATGTAAGAATATGGGTGTGTGCATTCATGTGTGTGCGCTTATCTTCTGCCTGCAAATGTGCAGTACCCACACACCCCGTTTTAGCTTTAAAAACACCAGCTCGATGCCCATATTTCTGCTTTATTTAATATGACATGTCCTTATATACACTGCTGTTTCCATATTTTATGACCTGTCACTGTAGCTTTGGCACAGTACTCTTGTCTTACAGCCTTTTATACCGTGTGAGTAGCAGGGATGTCCTAGTAGGGTAAACTCACATTACCTTTATCTACAAAATAGTTTGTTCTTAACCTCATTCCAGTTGACCACGCTGCCAGAAAAGACTCATCTCTTCCTTCTCAGAACGATTTAACTTGGGGCTGTTTCCACCGGCATTATTTAAATACCAATCAGGAAGATTCATTTGATGTGGTATGTTGCTATGGACGATCGGGCAACTTGACATCCTCTGAGCTGAGGATGAGGATCTCCATGCTTTGAATTTTGGCTCTTGGATCTATGTTTAGCTTGTTCCTTTTTCTTTTTTTTTTAATCAGTTCTCTGACTACAGTCTGTGATTGTTTGGATTTTATATGATAAAGACCAGTTTATTTCTTTTATTTCAGTGTTATCTGTTAAAAATATCCAGGATGTGTGGGCAAACGTGTTGAGAAACAATTAAAAAAGATTATTTATCTTTTGCATGTATTTGCAGACAAACTATCGTGTGGTGAAACAATAAGTCTATTAAAGTCACTTAAATTCTACTTAAATTGACATAATTGGTCTAAATCCTCAGAGTATTTCTTTCTAGATGTAGTCGTGTGTGCAGAGTGGTCTTAAAAAGTCTTAAATCCAATAATCTGAATTTTAGGCCTTAAGTGTCTTAAATGTGATTAAGTTAATGTTCTAAGTTGGATTTAGTCTCACTGTTAGTTGTGTTTCTGGGAAAAATCTGTACTGATCATGCTGTAACAACTACAAAACTAAACCGACATGGAGCCAATACTGATTTTACTTCATATCCTGGTACTTTTTTTGTCAGTATGGATGTGAATTAGGTGTTAAATTGCACTTATAATGCCTTGAAATGTAAATTTAACCTATTGAAACCTTCAGAAACTCTGTTTGTGGGTTTCCATGGACATTCATCTCTTGTTGACATTTCCTTTTAAAGTGTTCCTGCCTCAGTGGTTGGAGTTAGGTCCACATGTATGGGATTATAAAAAGGTTGAGGTATAAGGAAGAGGAGATTATCTCTTTCATCGCAGAGGATGAAGAAGGAGGAGAGGAAAAGAAAGGCACGCTCATGAGTCTTCTTTGACCTTTGAGTTCTCGCTTCTTTCCCGGAACCGGTTATCGTTGACATGTGGTTGTTTATTCCATGTAATGTCCCACTTATTCTTCTCCTCTCCTCTTTTTCTTTCCTTCCTTTCTCTCCTTTTGTCCTCCCCT